AGAAATTTGTTAAGTGAGTTTTGCCCCATTTTACGACTTTTCTTGCCACATTTGTTAAGTGAATCACTGCAATTGTTCAATTAGTGACACGGTTGTTAAGTGAATCTGGCTTCTTCATTGGCTTTGCTGGTCAGTAGTTCGCAACAGGTGATCACATGTCCCCAGGACATTGCAACCAGTCATAAATGTGAGTCAGTTGTCAACCATCCGAATGTAAATCATGTGACCATGGGGATGTTACAATGCTCATATGTGTGAAAAATGGTCACAAGTCCCTTTTTTCAGTGCCATTGTAACTTCGAAGTCACTAAATGAACTGTCGTACGTCGAGGACTACCAGTATTACAAGAGTTGCAATGTAATCTCAAAAAATGTATAAGTAATTCTTCAGCCACATTACAAGTCTCGCATAGGTAAAATCATCCTACGATTTAAGGATCTTTATATGTAACCTAAAATATTGATGACTGGTTTCACCAAATCACTCAAATAAAGAAGATCTCAATTCTGTCAAGATTTCAGGGGGTATAAATCTTAAGCTGAGCACCAAGAGAAAGCAAATACTTTCCCCAAACATGAAGTTATAATTCGTAGAATGAAAACTTTCTTAGAATGAAGGATGATCCTGCCAAAACAAAAACAACAGAAAGAATTGTGGACTCACAAGGTGAAAAAAATATATAATTTACTTTATTTTTTTTAAAAAAAAAATTACCTAAAGCATACATAGAAAAAATTTGAATAACAGACTAACAGGGTTGGAAGGGAGCTTGTAGATCTTCTGATCAAACAGGAAACCCTGGACCATTCTGGACAAATGGCTGTCCAATCTCTTCTTAAAAACCTCCAGTGTTAGAGTACCCGCAACTTCTGGAGGCAGGCCGTTCCACTGGTTAAATTGTTCTCACTGTCAGGAAATTCCTCTTTAGTTCTAGATTGGATCTTTCCTTCGTAAATTTCCATCCATTACTTCTTGTCCTGCCCTCAGGTGCTTTGGAGAATAGATGGACCTCCTCGTTTGTGACAGCCCCTCAAATATTGGAAAAAAGCTATAATTTCACCCCTAGTCCTTCTCTTCATATCCAGTTTCTGCAACTGCTCATCATATGTTTTAGCCTCTACCCCCTTAATCATCTTTGCTGCTCTTCTCTTCACTCTTTCTAGAGCCTCAACATCTTTTTTGTATCATAGTGACCAAAACTGGACGCAGTATTGTAAGCGTGGTCTTAACAAAGCGGTATAAAGTGGTATTAAGACTTCAAGTGATCTCGATACTATCCCTCTCTTGATGCAGCCTAGGACTGTATGGGCTTGATCAATGGAGAGGCAATAATTCCTATAGATTGCAAGATTTAATCTTTAATGAAACAAACATGAAATCTCTTGAGACTCTCTCACTGAAATAGTCAGAAACACCTCATCGGCTGCAATATCTTCTAATCAGCTATGTACTTTGAAAGAATTACAAAAACAAGGTTGAACTCTGAGACCTGGCTGAATCTGAAAAAGCTTTTAACACAACGTTGAGAACAATTGTGAACACTTATTTTTACTGTTTTTGAAATACAATCCAGAAACTGAATAAATCGATCGTCGAGTCTTTAACTTGTTGCCTTTCGGAATTGTAGTAAGTGAATGCAGAACTTGAACAGAACAAGTGATATGTAACATCACGTGACCGAACCCAATTTTACAGGTAGTCCTTGAGTTACGACCAGTCGACACATCCCAAGAAGGTACTTACTTAATTTAGCGTGCCAATTGCAGCCTAACTTAGAACAGAAGAAAGTGATGATGGTTGGGAAATTCTGAGTGTGTAGGCATCCTAAAGTTGCCAAGTTCAAAAAACATTGATATAATTGCTGAAAATCTTTTTTTTCCCCATCATGGGAGGTAGAAGTCTAATTAAATAAATGATGGCAAATGTTTAAAATTGTTTTGGCATTTATACGGAACTGTTAATGGCTAGAACACATTTTATGTATATACTTTGTTATTCACAGAACTATTTTTACAGAGCTTGGAGAAAAAGCAAAATAGCACTCTTTATTTTGCAGGTAGTAATTCCCAATGTTTCGGGATATATATAATGTAATTATTTGCAATTAGGAGAGAATCCTCTGTTCTGGTATATTTCCAAGGTGATCAATCTGATATTATTTTTTTCCACTGAAGAAAACATTGTTAAACAGCAAGGTTCTTGTTGCTAAACTCTTAGCCTTCCCAGTATTGCGTATTAGTTTTGAAAACAGCAGTCACCTGTTTTTCTAGTTTTTGTTTACACCTCTATCCCTCACAAAGTTCTGAGTCCACTTATCTCAAACCAAAGTATGCCTTTTGCCTTTTCCCCTAACCACCATCATAGCTATTTAACTTCCATTAGAATCTAGTTTTCAATGAAGTAACAAGAAAAGGGCCATCTGGTTATGCCTTCCTGTTTGATGTAAGCTTTAAGAAGCCCAAAGGAGCCAATTAATTCCTTATGTTTGCATGTTGCTTGTCTAAAATAATATGGCAAGCCTCTGGATGACCATCAAATATGCTGGGCTGTGGGTATTACTAAGAATGCATGACCATGTGTTCAAAGAGTGCTAGTTTTTCTCTTTTCTAGTTTATTTTTGTCAGCACAGGAGCACTTACTTTGATATTAGAGCATGTGAGAAAGCGACAGGCATATTCATAATCTCATATGCAAGAGATAGAGAGAGAGAGAAAGAGAGATGCACATAATTAACTATATTATAATTGAACCTCATTTACAAAATAATAATTTTATCTGTATAGAAAACTAGTAATGTGTGAACAGCCTGGAAGCGGCAAGTTTACAAAATTAACATATGATTAGAGTTTAGGGTGGTAGTTTAGGTAGAGTTTAAGAGCCTCGGTGGTGCAGCGGACTAAAGTGCTGTTAAGTGCTAGCACTTAGCTGCCAGCTGCCTGCAATTAGTGCAAGTTCAAATCTCACCAGGCTCAAGATTGACTCAGCCTTCCATCCTTTCGAGGTAGGTAAATTGAGGACCGGATTGTGGGGGCAATAAGCCAACTTTGTATAGAACAACACCACT